CACTCCTACCTCGTTTAATTTTATGAACGAAGAAACTAAGCTATCCAGAGTGTTTAACTGCCATTGTCAGTTGATTCATCATGCTGCCTCTATTGTGTAGACGACACTGGAGCAAATAACAGTAGATATCAGAAAGAGTTTGAGTTTCATTAAATTTATTATGAAAACTATGAACTAATAAGGTTCAAAGCTGAGAGGAAATGGATTAATACCAAGCAAGATATTAAAATACAGAAATGGATGCCTAGAAGCCTTACAGAAATTTAGTGAAATTTCTCTACACCCTCAGAAAAATCCAAAGCTTCTATTTTTTAGGTGAATTCTACTGAAATTTTCAAGAGATAATGAACTCAGTTCTTGTACAGAGTGCCCCCAGAAATCATGGAAGCCATTTTAGGAGAGTAATAGGATTGTGATTCCAACAGTAATTAAAGGAGAAATTAAGAAAAAAAGAGCAAGTACAACTTTATATACATTAGCTAAGACGCTAAAAGTATTTGCTGCTCTCACAGGACCCAGATTCAGGTCTCAGCTCCCACATGAGGCTGCACACAAGCACCTGTAACTTCCAGTTCCAGGTAATGGGATACGGTATTCTGGCATCAAAGGGCACTTACATGAGCATGGGAACATTCAGTTCAAAGCCAGCCTGGTCCGCAGAGTGAGTTCCAGGGCTACACAGAGAAACTAGTTTTTAAAAAAATTAATAAAGTGAGCAGAGGGTATGATAAGTAATTTCTCGGATACCCAGAAGACCAATAGACATTTCTTTAAAATACCTAATTTTTTAGTAACCAGAGGACTATAAGCTAAAACAGTTATCATTTTGTATCTATCATAATAGCCAGAATTAGAAACATGGTCACATCAAAAGGAGGGCACATATTGAGGCACTGTGGACAATTAGGACTGGATACAGGACAGCCTTTCTAGAGAACAGCAAGCGGTGACTTGGGAGGAGGAAACTGACATCATGAGTGGAAGGTGAGGCACTAGTCTACTCCAGACGAAATTCACAAACATCCGAGAGCTGTGGGAGGGAAACGGGCACAGCCTGTGTCCCCTGTGCTGTCCCTGCAGTATGAGGAACTGTGAACTGGCTGCACACAGGCTGCCATAGGCAGATCTCAGGCGTACAGGGACAGAATGAGGTCCTAGGCCGTGGCTCTAGAGCAGACAGACACACAACAGAGGCTGTTTCTTCAGAGCAGCGGGAATCATTAACCATTGTTGCCAGTGGTGGAAGAGGAAGGGAAAGAGGGGTCCTGAGATGAATAAACACATTTTAAAAACTCAGAGTACTGGAAAGCCATTATTCTCTCTGTCCCTCATTATTGAGTTAGCCATTTTATTCAATAATGACTTTATCCTAACATAATAATAATATGTCTGTCAATCTTTCAGTGATCGCTCTAAGATTTATTTCACATGGTTGCTGTCTAGCAAATCATGTGGTTAAAAATTAATAATCCAAACTTCCATTAAGTATTAATTCCACAACTATTCTCAGTTCCTGGGAGGAGATTTGAATGTGACCTCTCAACAGTGACCCTGCATGGTATTCAGCTTGTTTATCCTTCCATTATTTAGACACGACATTGGCATGATGGCTAACAGTTATACTCATTTTTAAATTGACTATGATACTGAATTGACAAAAATCACTCAAGCAGATATATATATATATATATATATATATATATCAGATATAATCTACAAAAATTTAACTGATCATTTTATTTTTGTCTCATTGCTCATATTCTGGTCTGAATGGTTATTTTAATATCGGTAAAATGGAGCATAAAACTCTATGTTTAGCTTTAGTAAGTAAATGCTGTTTTCACAAAATCTTAGTACTTAGATTTTTGGATAAGAATTATACAGAGTTATTGTTATAAGTGGCACTCTTTAAAAAGTAATCAGGAAAAGAATGGCAGGGATGAAGTATTAAGTGTGGGAAGAGTTAAAAATCATTATTGAGAGTACAGTTTTGAGAGGATTCCTTTGAAAGTTATCTGTTAAGTATATGAATTCCAAAAACGGGTTACCACCTTAGAAACTAGGGCAAGCAACCAGAGAGTGAATTCACACGTTTACTGTAGTTTATGAAACACAGTTGTATGCAGAGAGAATTTACAAAGCTGAATACAGACCATTCTGTGTACACAGTTGGCACCCTGCCTGCTCTGACTGGACCAGAAAGAGTGGATTACTCCCGACAGCAGAGACCGACTACAGTTTCCATCCATGTCTGAACCGACTCCAGTTCACCTGTCTAGTGTTTCCAGGGAGCTTCTAGTGGTTCTTAAATAAAATCACATTATTCTAATTACCTCACAAATAAAAACATCACCGAGCCTAGTTAAGGAAGTCACTCACACACTTGCCTAACTTGCCCATTTCCAAACTCAGAGCGTCTCAGTGAGCTAAACACAAAGGGCCTCTTCTTCTCAACCCTTCCCAGACACCGTGCTCATTGACCCTCTAACTTACTTTCCCCCACTGACTAGCAGATGTCCCTGATTGCCTGGTGCTTCCCAAAGTCTGTATCAGCTGAGTTGATTCCTGGCATGAAGAAGGGAAAAAGGTCTTCCTTTCTAGACATCTTAGAGGCAAGCTGGAGGAGTTCATACATAAAAAATAAACCCATATCAAAGTTTCATATAAAATGGTTTAATTTTAAACTAGTGTCTAAAAATTAGAAGTGAAATTATTATACAGTGGCATTAAGACAGCTATTGCAAGTTAATTTCTTTTGAGCATGAGTGTGTTTTTGTAAAAAAAAATTATTTAACATGAACATTTATGTTGTGTACATAATGGAGCCAAGAGAATGGCAAACATTTTGTGAAGAGAAATTTTTTTAGCTCTGTGCCTTATTAAAGGTAGTCTTCTGCCTCTTCTGGGGACTGAAGATCTAATATGTACAAATCAAATAGAATGTAAAGGCACAGTGTCCTTATTTATACCGAATATTTCACAGTAAGAAAGTGATATGGAGCCTTGCTAAATTTGCAGTCTCATTTTTCCTTGATTTGTTTCAGGCCCTGGAAAGTGAATTTGTTTCTTGCCAGCTCCATCAGTGGATCGACCTTATATTTGGCTACAAACAACGAGGGCCAGAGGCAGTCCGTGCTCTGAATGTTTTCCACTACTTGACCTATGAAGGCTCCGTGAACCTGGACAGCATCACAGATCCTGTGCTCCGGGAGGTGGGTATCCTGAGCTGCAAAACTTTCAGCCTAACTCTTTTACACATAGATTTCAGGCTTTTGACAAATGGAAAAAAAAAAAAAAAAAGGAAATGTATCAAAAGCAAGCAATGCGACCAATATGTTGGGATTTTTTAAATTCAAATATTTTAATGCAAAACTGTAATTTTACTTCCAAATCTTCATTAAAATGCATAATTAAGTATATTATTAATGGGTGAGGCTTAGATGAATATTTAACTATGAGTAATTCCCTAAAATAAAATAATAAGCAATATGGTTTTTGTTTTGTTTTTAAAAACAAAAGCAACTTTGCAACCTTCTAGAAGGATCATTCAAAGAGATATACCAGTATAGTGGATGCTATTGTAGTACTTGATTCCCATTTGTTCTCAGCCTGAACAGTTCTCAGTCTGTAGCTAACAGTTTGGAATTTTAAGTATTTTTAAGTGAAAATAATCATATTAAATAGCATTTAAATAACTTCCCATGCATAAAATGACTTTGGCTAGGTGGGCAGAGTAAGATGCAGCAGCTGCTAGGTAAGTGCTAATACAAGGAGACTGTATTCCTGCCCTCCATCCTAACCGCAATCTGCCATCTGTTGTATGCAAAACAAGCCATCGTGGCTGCATCTCCAGGCACTGGGATGCTTTTTCAGTTTTCATTTCAGAGGTAAGAAATGTGCAGATTTGGGAAATGAAGCTCTCTTAAAAAATCTTGTATCCATTTCTTACATATCCTATAAAATAAAGACTCAATTTGCATGCTCCAAGCAGAGAAGAAAAGGAAGAGAGAGCACACGATCACTGATCCCTTGGGGCAGAACACTTGGAAAACACATTTCAAGCATGTTATTAAAGGCGGTGTTGCTCAGTAGCATAAGCACAAGGGAGTGGGAGCAGATAGAGGGTGAGTGATCCAGGGAGAACCCGGGTATGGTAAAATTGTTTGGTAAAGTGAGAAATATCCTCCAGAGACCACTACACTTGCCGAATTTAGTGCCCTCAGGGATACCTCAATTTTGATCAGCTTATTTGATGGGAAGTAATTTTTAAAGCTACACATCTTTGCCTGTCACAGACCCATTTTATAATATTTTAACAAACAAAATTCATCTTTTCCAACATTTTTTTTTTCCATAGACAGGGTCTCACTGTGTAGACCATTCTGGCCTGGAACTCAGAGAGATCCACCTGCCTCTGCCTCTGAGTGATGGAGTCAAGGGTACTCACTCTCTCAACCAACCATAGTGAATACTTTTATAATAGAAAGAGGGAAAATTGGAATAGTTCATTCTTACAGTCCAAGCCCAGTTCCAATTTGGACTTTATTTATAAACTTCATGGACATCTTTGGTCCTGGGTATTTTATTATGCTTTTTCCCATCTACAACAAAGTTCTATATTTAAAAGGGAAATTAGAGGCTGATTATGTTAGGCAAAATACAAATTTGAACATATTGAATATGAGGAAAACCACTAGGTATCATTCATTCATATTGTGATAGGAAAGTGGGTTTTTTGTTGGTTTTTTTTTTTCCCCTTAAATGTCAGTTGAAAAAGAGACAAATAGGCCAGGAAAAAAACACCAGAATTCAAATTGAGACATTCCTTCCATGATTAAAGTGCATATTTGAACCTCACTGAAGGTGTCTGCTTCTTCAGCTGTCACACCACTATTCTGGACAGTGGCAAAGCCAATTAGTGGTTCACAAGCCTTACTCATCACACTGTGGGAGCTGTAGCACAAAATGTGTGCTCGTCACTGATTTGCTGGACGAAAACGGGTCCAGCCTTGTGTTTGCTTATTATGTTGATGCTCTGAACAGAATCTGTTACATTATGAGTTTTTATTACCCCAATAATAAAAAATGATGCAGACTGTCTAGTGCTAGGCCGGATGTCTCTGTTTAGGACTTGGCTCCTTTGAGCATCTCCTTCTGTGTAAACACTCGCTGGATGCCGAAACGCTGCCAGCCTCAGACCCAAACTAGGTTGTGCGTCCTTTCCTCCTCAAACCCTTGCCCAGGTGTCTGAGTTGTTGTCTCTTAGAGCTATGATACTCTCGTAACACACCCTCTCCCTCCAGCTAGCACAGGCCCTAACACAGGTCAGCAGAGGTGTTTGCACTGGCTTTGAAGATCACTATCAATTCAGGATTGCTGAGGAAGCTGCTTCACCTCCTCAAGAGCAACAAGAGACCATTAGTGTGATGCAAACAACAGATTGAGGGCTTTTAAGGAATATGAATTAACTTTTTTTCTCTCCTATTACCCACCATCATTCCCTCTCATACATTCCCATTAATGTCAGTAAATAAGTTAGAATGACACATGTTCCTACAAAATGTCCTGTCCTACCATTTACGAGCTTGAAGAACAGTCTTCTGCAAAAGCTACAAACCACTCAAGAGCTACCGGATAGCTGAAGAGAGCCAGAGTGCGGAATCTCACTCACTATCTCAGTTGCTCTACAAAGTGGGACTCAGCCTCCATGGTCGTGAGACACAGCTCTGAAGCTAGTGCGTCTATGGTTGATGGTCGTTTATGCCCTCCCTGCACATTATCACCATGAAAGACCCCTGGAGAGGTGCAGTACTGGTTTCAACATCCCTGTTGGAACCCTGTAGACCTGCCCAACTAGACCCTAACTTGAGAGAGATGCTTCAGTCTGAAAGATTGAACACAGACTCCTTTAAAAAGTAGATTATTTTGATATTTTTAATGCAAAGATCATTAATATATAAGACCACAGGAAGACTAGTTTTTTGTGTTTGTTTTATAATGTCAATTTGACTAATTAAGATAATGTTTTTTAAAATGCTAAACATCACCATAAAAGACTAATATGTCCCCTTTGTTTAAAAATTCTATGATCTGCCTAGAATTTTCAGCTTTGAAGTTACTACGAAAATTTGAGAAATAGCTTAAGGTTATTGACTCATTCTTCCCTGACAGGTGAAGTCATGAACCAGCACTAACCACAGCAATTATGGCATTAAAATGTCAAGAAATTAGAGGTCAGAATAACAGATAATTTTCTTCTCTGTGTCAGATTAAAAATTGGCATTCTTTGACAGTTTAGGATCTCTGGCAGAGAAAATGATGACAGCTTAACTTATTTTATACTTGTAAAGCAGTAATTGATAGTAAACTTTATCCTGACAGCTTCTAGGCAGAAACATGACAGCGCAGTTCTGGTACAAAGCTCCTTAATATGTAAACACTAGGTCTGCTGGAGAGTGAGATTTATTTAAACTGCCTAAGTCTTGTCTGACATCATTATCCTCTGGGCTCTCTTCTCGTGATGGCTCAACTGTTTGGGCAGTGGTTTTTGAAGCGTGATAATGAATATTCTTTCTTCTCCTTTTCCCATATTAATAAAAGCCTCTATTTTCTTCATATTTGTGCCTACCAGGTGACCTGCATAGAAAAAAGGGTTCTAGTTAGTAGCCATGGGGTGCTGTGGTTTTCTTTCTCCCTGCTCCTCAAGTGTGACCCAGAGTCCAGCAGAATCCTAGCACCTGGGAGCTTGTTAGAACTTGGGCTAGAACGTCAGCTTCCCTAACGTGACTCGGAAAAGCATTCAGCAGGGCCCATGGGGACTTGATGTTAGAGATTTAATTTTCTAAACATATTGAACTCAGGCTTTCAGGCTTAGAGACAGCTGCCTTTGCCCAGTGAGCCCAAGAAGATGAAGTTGGAGGTTTGTTCTACATAAGATGTGCTAGATCTACTTGAGACACTCTCGCTTTTCTATACATGTAGAGAGAACAGTATAATGGAGGTCACCCAGTTTCATCTCACTGCATCTGCTTCTCCAGCCCAGGATCATCCACTGTTTCAAACGTATATTCCATGCCCACAGCTATCTTAGCAACACCTACTGTGTCTTTCCTGTCTCTCCTAAGGATATTAATACAAAGATAACACTGTGTGTCTTGTTCTAAGTTATTATTTCTGTCCTTAGTTGTTATTTATAGCTATAATTTTTCTTTCAATGTCAGTAGTTTATCTTTGTTAAAAATTTATTTGAATTTAGATTTATATATGTACGACATGCATCCAGTGCCCATGGAGGCCAGCAGAGGGCATAAGAGCCCCCGGAACTGGAGTTACAGACAGTTGTGAGCCTCCACGTGAGAGCTGGGAAACAAACCCAGGTTCTCTGCAAACGCTGCCAGTGCTCGTAACTGCTGAGCATCTCTCCGTTAGTTCACTGTCCTTAGTTTTCAAGAAGTAAGTGAGCATTACTATGGCGCTGGTGCTGAAGCTGCTCCTGTGAAACAAGAGGAAAGAGTGGAGTCAGTGTCCTGACAGAAGCTGCAAGCTCACACCAAACACATGACTATAGCGATAAGTTCTGAGCGGACATAAAACTTGTCATCATACCTGTTACCAACCTCACCAAAAAGAAAATTGATTTAAGAGAGTACTTTGTGGCAGGAGAGGTAGACACAAGCCTGCCAAGTAGTGTTGTGCAACTGATACCCAGAACAGATGGGCCAGGCAGTGTCTAGATATTTACAGATTTTAAAATATTCAATACATTTTAATATTACCAGCAATCACAAAAAAGGTGCTATTTTTCCATCTAGCTGTCTTTACTTAGGCAGGCCCTGCTTTGATCTCTCTTTGATCTGCCAGGGGTAACAGAGCTGCTCTCTGTGTGCTATGAGAAGAGCATGCCCACAGGAGGTAGGCTACATCACTTCAATTTCACTTCATTTTCCTGCTGAAATGCTCCTTGCTACTACAGAGCACTAACATGATAGGGCTGTCAAGAACCAGCAAGACAGATGTGTCTGTATCCAAAACAGCTGCTGCTGACTTTCCCAGAGAGATGAACTCATAAAGTTCATAAGGGAAAAAAATCAATGCACTCTTCATTTACCCATGATGTCAATGAAAAGACGGGTGACAGCTCCCATGGCCCTACCTTCTGTGCTCACACTCCTCTATGTCTATCAGCCCTTTCCTCCCTGCACTCCTGATGGCTTCCTTTGATGTAACCAGGGGATATCAGCAAGGGATGTTGCCTTCATTGTGTAGGTTAAGCATTTGTGAGTTCAGTCATCTGATTGTGAGCCATGAACAAGCTACCTTACTGGACTGCAGCACTTGGCATTCACTCACAGAGTGATGGGGTCTCACTGTCTTCATACTGGTTGATTAGGGTTTCTCTCCTAAAGAGCTTTTCATGATTGCAATAAATGAGCAAAAAGATAGCTGGTGACGGTCTCCCAGATTGCCTTAAGTAAATCTCTTCTTTACTACCTTAAAATTTTTGGCATGTTCAAAATCCAAATTAAATGCAAAGAACACCCCTATGTTTTGGTTAGCAAAGCTCAAGTGGGCATGAGGTGTTCTCAGAGTTTGGGTGGGAGGAAGAAAATACCATGACCCCAAATCCATGTGTTTCATATGTACAGCACTGAGGCTTACATGTAGATTTTGTTAATAAACTTTGAATGTGGGAAATTAAAGAAATTAACGGCACGCATTGAATTATGCTTAGCTAATCTGTAATTTGGGTTTCTCTTTTCTCATTGGATCGTTACTGTGTCTTAGCTAGTCAGTTTCTTCATCTCCCTGCAATGTGGTGCAGCTAGTCAGTCTCAGATGTATAATAGCTAGTTCTTTGTCCCCCCTCTTTGTGTTATTTTCATTATGTGCTAATGAGAAATGCTAATTGTTCCGGGCAGTGGTGGTGCACGCCTTTAATCCCAGCACTCCAGAGACTGTGGCAGGCCGCTCCATCTCTGTGAGTTCAAGACCAACTACAAGAACTAGTTCTAGGACAGGCTCCAAAACTACAGAGAAACCCTGTCGCGACACCTCCTCATCTCCCATCAGCATAGAGCTTAGTCATATTACACTGTCATCTGCTTCTGTTCGGAAATGGATATCACTCAGTCATTTCAGTTAGATGTGCAGGACTCATGTAAAGACTCAGACGCATTGGTAATGGCCCAATTTAAAGTTGTTTGAAATCTCAATGTAGTCTTTCTAAATTATTGTTTCCCATCTATATCAAAACCAGGGGACATTTTATTCTGTTGAATTAATACTGTGATATATTGAGTAGGAGTTTGGCTTGATAACAAGACATGCTTTGTTTTGGAATATTGATGTCACCTCCTGGTGAATTTGTGTCACTGTGCTCTGCGCACTAAGCCAAACCTTGAGCTTTTTTTATCTTTTTCAGTAACTCTTCTGTGATTAGACACTCCAGCTTACAAGGTTACCACCTGCATGCCTGTCTCCTCTCACTACTTTCAGCACCGCTCTGCCCACAGCCTCTTCTCCCCCTTCTCTCCTGAGCGACCAGCAGAGAAGGCTTTCACAGAAAGCTGTTCAGGCAGGGCAGGCTTGACAGGGGGCTGCTCTGGGTTGTGCCATTGGGGGTTCAGTACTCCATTTAGGAAAGAAAAGTACTGAAGTGAGCAGAGAACCCCAAACACAAAGGCCTCCTTAAGACACCATCTCTTTCTGGGCATTGGTGAATGTAGACTGCAAAGAGACCCTGCACTCCCAGGGAGCTTATACCAGGGCCCTCTGTAAAGTGACTCTTGGTGGAGAACAGTTTTCCTTTACTCTGTCCTGTCCTGACGTGTAGAAAAGGTGAGCAGCATGTCTCACTGGTTACCTTCTTACTAATCTCCAGGATATCAGCACATGGCCTCTCAAAGAAAACCTCTGCCTCATAGATGAACCCTAGGGACATGTACTAAGTAAAATAATTTGGTCACAAAGCAAAACAAAAGAAAAAGGCAACAAACATCCCACCTCCACCCCTCTTCCCCACAATATAAACACAAATATTCAACTTGGAAGAGAGGTCTGCAGCAGCCACTGTCACAGAGGAAGAAGTAGAATGGGGGTTGCCAGGGATTAAAAGAGAGTAGAGGGCTGGGCTATGTTTAGTGTGTACAGATCTAAGGAGCTGTGACGATATTGAGCACTACACAACTCTATGTAAAGTGGTTAAAATAATAAACCATGTTTTATGTGCATCTAAAATTGCCATAAGAGGTAATAGAGCTATAATAGGTGATAATGGTCCTCATTACAGAGATGTGAGCAGGAGGCAGAGGTTCAGGAAGAGAAAGCAAAACCCTTGAAGGCTAACGCACCAAGGCCCCAGGTGAGAGGCACCGTGCTGGAAGAGAGATATAGCAAGAGATGTGTTGTTCTAAATAAACTGTGATCTGAGGCAGGAGGCCAGGGCCCAGTCTAGCCACAGCTAAACCAAGACCTGGCAAAGAGAAACACACAGGAAATCCCTCAACCCTCTGTCTCCTGTGCTAAGCTGGGCTCTCCACAGAACCTGGGGGAAAGGCCAAGAGCAAGGAGTGTAGTGATAAGGTTTGTGGAGGCCTGTGGATCAGAGCCGAAGAAGAAAGGTGTCCAGAACAGCATCCATCCCTTTGAAATGTTGCTTCCAGCTAAGCCAGTGTATTTTAGATACCCAAAGCAGGTCAGCCACTACCAGCTGCATTAAAAACCCATGCTTTGTTCCTGGGACTTGAATACAAGTAAACTTCAAGTACAAAATTCAAGAGAACGTGCCATCCAGCAGAGCTGTACCTATTATAAAAAAGAAAATATTCTGGATGGGAGATTTTTCTGTTAGGATAGATTTCTGTTATGTCACTTATGTAACATCATTACAGTTGATCGTACCAAGGAGATGGAGCTATATGTCCTCTCAAAAACCAAGGCAGGCAACAATAAACCAGAGCTGCTCCTGCAAGCCTGGGATAACATAGCCTTCCCAGCTAATGGAAATCAGTTCTTTTCTTTTAACCAAAGTTAGGAAACAGTTGCTTATATGTCCAATAATTTTGCCATAATAGATTGTTTTAGTCTTAATGTAGGTGATTACTAAATCAATAATAAAAACATTTTTATTTCTGTTTGTGGTTTCTCTGAGGAACTAGAAACAGTTCACTATAAAACAACTCTTTAATTTTTTATATAGTTTAATGTTTAAAAGCAAGAAATGATAGAGTGTGTATATTACTTTCTTGATCTACTTTATTCTTAGTTTTCCAACATTAAAAAGTAATGCTTTACATGATCTTGTTTTATAACAACAATAAGCCAAAAGCAAAGCTTATCAGTTAAAATATATTCCACCACTAAAGTCACCTTTCTTTAGATCATTCTCAAAGTTGCATTATATTCTAATTTTTTATGTGATGTAGGAAGAATTACAGGTAGAACAGAAAGGTGATACATTTGCTATGTCAAATTTATATTTTGTGTTTGGTTATGGAAACAACAGCTCTTAAATGTTAAAATCACTGTAACAACAAGATAAGTGCAGCACTAGGTAAAATGGTCAAAAAGTTTTTTTCTGAGTTCTCAAACACTATTTTTCTTTCTTTCCTTCTTTTTTTTTTCTTTAATTTTTTTGAAAACTGAGTAGAGTTGGTGACCCTTAAGCAGCCACATTGGAAAGTCTGCCTCTAACACAGGTGCTAGCTCTCACTTGGCCCTCTCAGTTAACATCCCCCCAGGCTACACACTTCCGCACCTCAAGGTGAGGCACACCTCCAGCTGGCCACCTGAAATTAGGGTAGAATTGCATATCAATGGTTGGGGAGGGGCTGCATATTCAAGTGTTGTTCCAGTGACCTTCTCCACCCCTGTTCTTCCAGAGGAGAAACCAACTGTTCCTACCAGAGTTCCTGGTTGATACCTGCTAACATTAGCTGATTTGATGAAGAAAGCAGCTTTTTTGATAGGATTTTTTTTTTATGTCAACCAGGTTGACAACAGAGGGTTAAAAGGAGAAAGAGGATTTACAGGGAATGAGGGAGGAAGAAAAAACTAGTTTTAAAGATTCTATAGATGAAAAAAGATATATATAGGTTACCTATATTATGGGACAGAGTCAACTTGTTTTTATGTATTGCCCAGCAAGGGGCTGCTACAAGTGTCCTAGATTTTGACTTTCCATTGTTTATGAAGTCTTTTCTCTGGACAGGCATGTGTGTAACACACAGGCACATATAACCTACTTGTGTATCTCCTCTTCTAAGGATTTAGTGCCAAATTGTTCACAGAGAAGAAACTTTGTCAGAAGGTGCCTTAGGGATTCTATTGATATGAGGAGACACCATTAACACAACAACTGTTATAAAGGAAAACATTTAATTGGCATAGGACAGCTTTAAAGGTTTCATTAAGTATCATCATGGCAGGGAGAATGGAGGTGGGGAGTTTGATGGCCCTGCAGGCAGACATGGTGCAGACTACAGGTTGATCAGAAGGCAACAGGAAGTGGTCTGTGACACTGGGAGGTTTCTTAATCTAAGTAGACCTCAAAGTTTACCCTCAGAGTGACACACTTCCTCCAACAAGGCCACACCTACTTTAACAAGGCCACACCTCCTAATAGTGCACTATGAGATTATGGGGGGGCAATTACAGGAGGAAAGAAAACAGTTAAGCAAGGTGATCAGTGGTCAGGAGAGGACAGTGTGTTACACTATAGCTGCTATGTGTAAGGCATCTCATTAACTCATGAATTGGGAACTAAGGCAGTTTCTGGTGCCATCTGCCTCCAAATGGGCGCCATTGTGTACCAGCCTTGACTAATGAGAAGGACAAATCTAGAGAGCCTTTGAAAATCAGTAAGAAAGGAGACCTGATTTAAGATGTGACTAACTGTAATTTGACTGGTGGGTACCAGAGTGTTTTACTGATAAAAGTCTAACAAGACAAAGGACAATGAGGACTACAAAGAAAGTGGTCCTCTTGGGTCCTTTTCCTACCAGGAGCTTTATATTACAACTAAGCAAATAAGACCAGAGGTCGTGTGTGCTGGAAATAAAAGTCACCTGCCGCCATCTTAGTTATTTCTTCAACCTTGCATAGCACACAGTGCATTTCTGTGTCCTTGCCTGGCTATCCTTGCAGAATCCTAAATGCTCAAATCTCCTTGCAGTGTTGAACATACCCACTTGTCGTGAGCCTTATTCCTGAGCGGACATTCTGCCCTTACTTAGAGGTCTGCAAGTAAATACTCAGGATGACCACAGTGTTTGTTCTAGGAACAAGTTTATTATTCCAATAGTCAAATTTCCAATTGTTACTATAGCAGGTGTAGGCAAACATCAAAACTATAACAATCATTTAAATCTCTAATTATTCCTATGGCAGATATAAGTAAACATCAAACCTATAACAATCCTAGTCAATCAATCACATCACACATTCAGCAAGGGTTCCTATGTCCTAGGCAAGGTCTTCTATCCTATCTTACCTGAGGCATTGGTGTATACGACCTGGACCTGATAATGGTCCGTGGCTCTCGACGTAGACCTCTGGATCAGCAAGTCTTGATCCGCAGGCAAGAGCTAGTTCTCTGGCTCTTGGACGGTCTCAGCTGTGAAGTTGCTGGTTCGTTGGATCTCTATGACCACTCTGACAGCATGTCTAGCAAGTCATTTTGAGAATGTCTTCTGGCCATAAGCCTCAAGTTTTTATACTGTTTCTGGCTACTTTACTTTCTTATTTCTAGATTAGCACACATGTCTGCTTATCATATAGTTACGTCACACTTGTTCACCAGCTCAAACTCTTATCACCACTGCACACATTGCTTCATGCTTTTTAGTTTCATTTTGTGTGTCATTTAGTATTGCCTCTTAACACTCCTGGACTTGTTTGTCCTTACAGACTCATAACACACTTCATGACAGATGCTTAAGAGACAGATGCTAAGCATTTAATGACTGACCAGTGAATATTCTACTGAGTAATAAAAAGAATTGTTCACAATTACTGTAGAACAATTGTAATTTTTTTAAAAAAAAATCAACCTGAACTTTTATTTCCATCTGAACAGTTCACAGTAGAAAAGTAAAGTGATCTTCCATCTGTAATCAGTTGATAAGATAAGGAATTCTAGTGTACAATAGTTACAGTCCATGAATACCCTAGAGACCACACAACTCCAAATGGTTTCTTCATTTTTAGCAATGACCATTACATTCCAGGTTCACAAATGTAAGTATACAAGTCAACACCTCAATTTGGAGCACAATTGGGCATTCTACCCATAGCAGCCTCCCCAATTCAAGATACAAGTTCAATGGTAATACCTACCACCACACTGAAATGTTCCTCCAGTGGTACCTGCCTACCTCCTTCAAAACTGTGCAACATTTTTCTGAACTGTTTCTAAATAGCTAGAATTATTTTTAAAACTCGAAGCTACCAATAGCTGCAAAATTTAAGTTGTGCTAAGCTGATAATAAGACACTATTCAACATAAAAATGAGTAGTGATGGATACAGGAATGTATGTCACAGACATTATGTTGATCCACAAAGACACCCAAGTAAAATGTTACCTTATGGTTAGTTTACTAGACATTCCAGAAAATATTGATAAGCATGTAGATAGTGATTAACTTGATGGGGTGTGGATTGGGGCAGTTGGCTAAGGAGAGATAGAAGGTTGCCTATACATGCGCATTCACATTCCTGTAACCATCACAAAGACCAAGATAAGGAAATTTCCAATTCCATCCCTAAGGCCTCTGTCTTGATAAAGAGAAGACCTTCACCAGGTAAAGGTGCTAGCCACTGAGCCCAATACCCAGGTTCCACGCGGTGGGAAGAGAGAACTGATTATATCAAGTTATTATCTGATCTCGGCATGTAGGTCATTGCAAATGTGGCTCACACGTATCTGTGCATACACAATAGTTAATGTAGTTTAAAAGCCCATGATTCCAATTTAGAGATCACAAACCAGAAAGCAGTACAGCTTTCTAAGATTAAGCAAACCCATGTTTTCATGTCACCAACCAAAGATTGTCCACCAAGGGCCATGTGTGAGTGTTGCAGCTCTGAGGGAAAAAGTTTCCCCAATGCAAGTGTTACATCCTGTCAGGAGTCAAGGAATAGCACAAAATGACACCATACAACAAACCTCACACAGGTCTATTGGGAAAAACACAGGAGGGTGGCGCCTCTGCTTGGGGATAAGCAGCAAAGAGCTGAGAGAGAGGCAGGCTTATGTGGGGTTTCTTGAGGGCAGAGTTTTCCAGGGTAGAGATTTCCAGGAGGAATTGGTGGGGTTTGAAGTCCTGAGCTTAGAGAAAACCCAGGACTGGTGGGATTTCGAGCTCAGGGATTGGTGGGTTCAAGTTCTGAGCTTGGGCTTTTTCTTAGGTAGGGTGGAGCTTGGCCACCTGTGTCTGGAGGGCTGAGTCTGTTCTGTAGGTGGAGCTTGCTGGTTGGAGGTCCTCAAGTGGGGCCTGTGTCTCGAGGGACTTGTACCGAAAGCTTGGCATCTACTTTGTTGTTGCACTTGTTACCTGTGCCGGCCGTGTTTCATACAGGATTGTTACTAGAGTTATTTGACTCTCAGATGTACATCTTCTAATAGTGAATAGCTTCTCAGTGAAAGAAATTACATTGGCTAACTCATTTCCAAACATCTTCTGATACTGGATCACTCCTTAGTAAAGGAAGTTGGGTTGACCAACTCATTTCCAAAGTTTAGACTTACATACCTTGCTTATATATACTCCTGAGCATTCAGAATGACTAGACTCTGAGAGCATTCACATATGCCAGCATCTACAATAACCAGGCGGATGAAGCAAGTGAAACATGCAGTCTGGGCCTGTCTCCACCACAGTCCTCCCTATTGTGTGCATTCATGTGCATTTCTGATTTCCTTCCGGGGCGGCAGACTTCCTGAGGGCAGAGTGGATGTTGACTAAGCATTCAGATTTGTCAACCTCATTGCTGCAGTGGCATTGAACTGTTGTAAGTAATGGACTCTTGTGTTTTCCCTATCCCAGGGTCCATGTGCTTTTTGTTTTCTGAACCAACTTCCCCCTTGGCCCAGATACCTTTCTAGTGCCCACTTTTATAGTCAGCAAATACTGGAAGACTGTGCCATAGTCCTTACTTGCAGAGAGTCAAGCTGAGAAAACAAACAGACACATAGTCATGTGTTCAATTCTGTCACAGAGGGAGGAACTGTACTCTGAGAGTATGGGAGAAGCTGGTGATGATCTGTGGAGTCCCAGCCCAAGGACAGCACCAATAGAGGACTGCGACTTAATCAGATTCCTAAGCTGTTTGATGGGCCCTACATCACAGCAGGCTGGTCTGCTGTCCAGTACCTATCTGCTCAACATGGAGACACCACATCCCCCCTTAGGGAAAGGTACAGAGGGATAGAAGAGAGGCAGCAGGCTCCCTCACCAGTGTCTCACTGACTGAAGGTGGAACCATGCTTTCCTAACATCAGTTAGAGCTGAAGTTTTCTGATTCAGAAGGGAAAGACTACTTGCAAGACAGGAACACAGGATACCTAATAGATAAATTCTAGAATACAGTCCCTTGGTGCACAAAACCATCTGGAACGAAGAAAGCGCAACCCCAAAAGTGAAATGTGGGATTTGAATGCTCTGCCTCAGGCCAAAGGGATCACTAGAGAGCACTAAACAAGAAATTTCTGGAAATTATACCAGCATCTTAACATTTTTCTGGCATAATTTTAATACTTCTGTTTGTGAAACAAAGTTAAAGTAAGTGGGAGATGCTTGCTCACTCTTCGTTCAGTGAGTGTCTGGGGCAGCGACTGAAGGCCAGAAGTGTTGAGTTAGCCCCGTCTTCTCGCCCCCAGAAGGCCCTTTTTCTTGGAAGAGTGAAAGTACAGACCCACAGTATCCATTGCTAGAAAGACTTTAGTTGATATTGGGCATTTGGTTTAACAGTAATATTATCGTTTACTCCACAAATAATTCTCAAGAGTTATTGTAATAATGTGAAGCCAACTAGAAACGGTCTTCTTTTCCCTTTTATAAACATAAATCTCGCAATGGGGAGAGACAGTGTGGTGGTACCTATTGAATACAATTTAGCTGAATAGTCACACTTTGCATTTGAATGGATGTCATGAAAATAAATGTTACATTAAAACTGGACAGCACTTAAGGAGATTTAATAATTCATCCCATCGTCGCTGCAAATAAATGAACCAGAGCTCCTTTTATGCAGTTGTTAAAATATGGTGGATAATGATCCATTCATGTTTAATATTGCTAATAAATTTGAAAGTTCACATTTTTACTGATAAACATTTTCTTGAAATGCAGTGTAGAAGGACATATGGTTAAATTTAAGTACTTTATAAATGAGAATTGTAGATAGTGATACAATTAGTGGCAGTGTTGTGTCAAGAGCCATCTACCCGCTTACCTGCATTCCTTCCAGCGCCCAGCAGTGGGTTTCGTATTTCACTTTTATGTGCACCAAATTGCACATGATAGTAGGGGGAAACTAGCGTGGTAACAAAGTAATGATCATAGTAAATATTGTGCTTTTCCTTGTTGACTTAAATTACACATTTACAATATCTCAGGAAAAATCTTATTAGTCTAATTTAATATGTTGAAATATTTTACCTATAAAATTTATGTTTAGGAGAAATGCTTAAGTCTCTGAACAAACAGTTGTACATCCAGACACATGGGCGCGCACATGCAAGCAGTGCTATATTGTGTGATCCAGACAGTTTGAGGTGAAAATTAGTTTTAATGGGAGCCATACAGTTTTAATATTCATATCTGCACAGGTTTTAATAAAACGCTGTATATAGCTCAAGCTACCCAAAGAATTTTTTCCTTTTTAGTGACTTTTCTCTAGTCTACATGGGGGAAGCTGAGAGAAACTAATTTATACCTTATAAATAATATCCCCAGGATCTGTCTTAAAACACAGTAGCAAGCTGAGATGTGCTTTTGTATTGAAAGCTTTGCTTTATTTGATTGCCACACCAAAGCCTTAGAGTTCTGACCTCAGATTGCCCTCTGTGTTGACTGGATTGTACAATTTTCTGAATTGTTATTTCATGTCAGTAGTAGACATTATGTCTCATTCTCTTTCTCCGTGAAGATTCCAGAAGCTTATTTCATTAGAGATCCCCACACGTTCCTCCTTACAAAGGACTTTGTTAAGGTACCTGTGTTGTATCCAGTATTGAAGGTGTTTTCTGGTCTTTAACTGCATGCATGGATGCACAGGTTAGCGTTTCCACATTTAACCCCAGCTTCTGGTAACGAGAACAGTCCTGTGCTTAAATGATGCATGATTAGAAGAAGTGAAGCTTGTCCCCAAAATACTAACACTCAAAGGATTCTGCACATTGAGAAAAGAGCACTTCTAGAATTTTTTTAGATCCTTTTATGGCTGACTTGAGCTAAACTTGCGTTGTCAAGAGTGTGTTGACCTCTCTTTTGACACATATTGCTTATGGCAGTCATCCTCCTTGCCCTGCAGGCCATGGAAGCACAGATACAGAATTTTGGACAGACGCCATCTCAGTTGCTCATCGAGCCACATCCTCCTCGGAGCTCAGCCATGCACCTGGTAAGGCATCAGCATGTGGAGGGATTTTCCTCTCCTTTGTACACAGGTAGAAAGTAAATAAAATGGTATTTCAGTAA